GAATTGAATTTGTGATTTAAAATATCTGCAAGCACACACATAAACACCAGGTCCAGATGGCTTCACTAGTAAATTCAATCAAGCATCTAAGTTAAAAACGATACTATGTCTATACAAACTCATAAAACAGAGACAAAGGGCACATCTCACAACATAATCCCAATACCAACACTTAACAAGGCTATTTTAAGAGTAATGCATGATGGCTCAAGCCTGTACTCTTAGCTCTCAGAAGACTGAGGGGGACAGTCCTGGGGTAGAGGTCATCTTGAGCCACATAGTTTGTTCAAGACTCACCTAGGCTAACCAAAGTTGTAGAAAAGAAACAAAAACCATGTTATAGGAAACGCAAAACAACCTCCTTCTTAAATACAGATGCAAAACTTCTTTTGAAAATATTTACAAATTAGACATAGCAGAATTTGAAGAGAATAGTAAATCATGAGCAAGTAGGGTTTGTCCTGGGACCGCAGATGGGCTCCACATCTGTAGCTCAATCAACACCATTCACCATACTAGGGGGATAAAGGAAGGAAATCATGTGATCATCTTTCTAGAAGCAGGGAACATCTTAACCAAAGCATGGTATCCATTGATGATTTTCTTTAAATCAAAGTAGATGAGGGGATGCAGAGATGCCTTAATGGTTAAGAGTGCTTGCTGTTTTTGCTAAGGACCCAAGTTCAGTTCCCAGCACCCACATGGTGGTTCATAATCGCCTGTAACTCAGGGGCCCTTAGACCCTCTGTTGTTTCTCCATGCTCCTGCATGCACCTGATGCTCACAGAGATACACACATACATGTAACTTTTAAATTTTTAATTAACAAAATAAAAATAGAAAAAACTTTTTTCTAGCAAACTAGAAATAAGGTAGAACTTCCTCAATGCAACAAAGGCAGCCAATAAAAATGTATGTCAAGCATAATTAATGGAGAAACAATAAACTCTCTTCTTCAAAGATCAGAAACAAGGCCAGAAAATACCCACCCCCCTCAGGGATTTTTTTCTCAACATCACATTGAAATTTTAAGCAAAACAATATAGCAAAAATGAAAACTATAAGCAAGGAAATAAAAGTCAAGCTATCAAAAAGAATAAGCTATTGATACACTCAAGAGTATGAATAGATGTCAAAAACATTTTGCTGAGAGAAAGCTGCCAGCCACAAAGGAATACATACTCTGTTATTCTATTTATATGTGATCCTAGAGCACATAAAACTCATTTATAAGAACAGAAGCAGATGGATGGTTGCCTGAGGGCTGGTAAAGGGGGTGGGGTGATTATAAGTGGGGAGCTTTTGAGGCTAGATATATTTTAAGTCCTGATTGTAGCGATTACCACAAGGATACGCATTTTCTTTAAAACTCACTAAGGGTGCTGAAGAGATGGCACATCAGTAAAGAGCACTGGCTGCTCTTCTGGACTTTGGTTCCCAGCACCCACATGGTGGCTCCCAGCCACCTGTAACTCTAGTTCCAAGGGATCAGATGCCCTCTTCTGGTTTCTGAGGGCACCAGGTACTTGCATTGAACACATACATATGAGCAGAACATTTATACACATATGATAAATGAGTCTAAAATATTAATTCATTCATTTATGCATTAGATTTTATCTATTTTATCATATAAATTATGTATTATTAAAGCAGTGTTTTAAAGTAGAAAAATAGACACCAGTAAGACAAAATAAAGCCCAGACTATAGAGAAAAAATATATACTTCACATTTGACTCAGACCTGAAATTCAGACCATTCATCCAGAGAATTCTTATATCTCAAGAATAAAGACAGCTGGGTGTTGGTGGCACATGCCTTTAATCCCAGCACTTGGGAGGCAGAGGCAGGCTGATCTCTGTGAGTTCGAGACCAGCCTGGTCTACAAGAGCTAGTTCCAGGACAGCCTCCAAAGCCACAGAAACCCTGTCTCGAAAAACCAAAAAGAATAAAGAAAAAAAACAAGCACTGTTTCTTAATGGACAAAAGACTCTAACATATGTCACAGAAAATTAATATATAAGTAACTGATAAAAACATGAAGTTGTGCTCAAAATCGTTAGTCATTAGTGAACTATAAACACAAACACCAAGTTACCACCGTTGAACCCCAACAAAAATGACAAAACCAACAAGGAGATTAAAGTCAAGAACTAGTCTGGATGTGGAGAGAGTACAATTGTCATTCACTCCTAAGGAAATAAAACAGTGGAGGGCTGGGTAGATGGCTCAGCTGGTAAGAACACCTGCCACCAAGCCTGACAACCTGAGTCTGATCCCTTGATCCCTCCTGGTAGATAGAGAGAACCAACTCCTGCAAGTTGTCCTCTGACCTCTACATGTTCACATGGCACAGACACCGAAACACCAACACCTACACACAATAAATAATAAATGTTCTAAATGGTAGAACCACACTTTAGATCAGAGTTGGGCCATTCCTCAGAAAATTATACTTATAATGAAATTATGAATCAGAATCAGCTATTCCACTCCTGGCCATTCACTGAAGAGAAACTAAAATGTCTGCAAAATTAACCATAAGTAAATACTCAGTGTCTTAGTTAGGGTTTCTATTGCTGTAAAGAGGCACCATGACTATGGCAACTTTTTTTGGCAACCCTTATAATAAAGGAAAAAATTTCATTGGGGCTGGCTTACAGTTTCAGAGATTTAGTACATTATGGTCATAGCAGCGTTCAGGCAGACATGGTGCTGGAGAAGGAGCTAAGAGTTCTAAATCTTGATCTGTAGGCAGCAGAAGCAGCTGTGTTCCACACTGGACTTAACTTGAGCATGTAAGACCTTAAAGCTCGTCCCCACTGTGACACACTTCCTCCAACAAGGCCACACCTTCTAATGGAGCCACTTCCTGTGGGACAAGAATTCAAACACATGAATCTCTCTGGGGACCATACCTATTCAAACCACCACACTCAGCTAGGTATGGTCACACATGACTGTCATCTAGCATTTGGGAGATGGAGGCAGGACCATCAGGAGTTCACAATCATCCTTGGCTACACAGCAAGTTTGAGGCCAGCCTGTGCTATATGAGACCTTGCCTATAAATTAATTAAATAAATATTCATAGGGTCTTCTTCATAATTACCAAAACCAATCCAAACATCCACCACCAGATGAATGGATAAACAAACCAGAAGTTCTCATATGTTAAAGAATGACTCCTCAGAAAAAAAGGAACGAACTCCAGGTGTGCCCCCACATGGAACAACCACAAAACCATCATATTGAGGAGCAGGCGAAAGACTATAAAGGGCAAACTGTCAATTATCTAAGTTTGAAAAGAATACTAGACAGACAGTTGTAACAGAATTCATGAGAGTGGTTGCCTGGGAGGGCAGTGGAGCACTGATTTCTAAGGACATGAATTCATTTTCTATAGGGATAAAAATGTCACATATCTTGGTTCATACAGTGTTTACACAGGTAGATGGTAAACATCTGACAACTCAAACTGTGCACTTCACATTTGTAGTGTGGCTGGGAGTGGTGGTGCACACCTTTAATCCTGGCACTCAGGAAGCAGAGGCAGGCAGATCTTTGTAAGTCCAAGGCCAAGCTGGTTTATAAAGTGAGTTCCAGAACAGCCAGTACATAGTGAGACATTCCTCAAACAAAACAAGAGGATTTGTAGTCTGTGTCTCTGTCTCTGTCTCTGTCTCTGTCTCTGTCTCTGTCTCTCTCTGTGTCTCTCTCTGTCTCTGTCTCTGTCTCTCTCTCTCTCTCTCTCTCTCTCTCTCTCTCTCTCTCTCTCTCTCTCTCTCTCTGTGTGTGTGTGTGTGTGTGTGTGTGTGTGTCTCCATATTGAGCATGGAGAATCATAGTTCAACGTCAAGTCACCCTAACCTTCCACTTTGTTTGAGACGAGCTCTCTTGTCGCTCTCCACTGTGTACACCAGTCTAGCTGACCTTTTAGCATCCAGGGGTTCTCTTGTCAGTACTTCTCATCATGGTAGCACTGAGATGTGTGCTACCACCATGACAAACTTTCCACACATTCTAGGAATCTGAACTCAGAACTTCACACTTGGGTGGCAAGAATTTTACCCAGTGAGCCCTCTCCACAGCCCCAAATAGGTACATCTTATTGTTTTTCTTGTTTTTCCATTTTAAAAGGAAAACTGGGTATAAAGAGTTTGCTTAGCTTACTAGCAATAACATGGTAAATGCCCCCCAACCATCAACTCTCTCATCCATTACCTTCCACATCCCTCTCAAGCAAGTACAACAGATGTTAGAAATTCTATGGTTGCTGGACCTCTGAGACTAGGAGTGACATTGTCTGCACTGGGGTGTCATCCATAGCGTGATCAGGCCCATAAATAACATGACTGTACTCTGCAGTCACTTCACCCTGTCCTGTTCTGTGGCTTATCCTGCAGGTCTATGTCTAGGGTCCCAGTCTTCCCCACTAACAAGGTAGAATTTAGATGGGTCATTCCAAGTGCCATTAGTTGACACTGATGTGGGAAGACACAACTTGAATAACAGACTCCAAGGACAGGGCTGACACAAAGACTTAGCTGTTAAGAGCACTTGCTTTTCTTGTAGAGGGCTCCATTTCAATTCCCAGTACTCACATGGTGGCTCACTTGTAACTCCATCTCCAGGGGATCCAATGCCTTTTTCTGGACTCTGCCAGGCTTGTGTTCATACTCCCAAGCACACAGATACACACACACACACACACACACACACACACACCACAACCCCACCAAAAGAAAGTTTTAAAAAAAAAAACTGAAAAAAGCAAAACTCCATGAAAATTTAATAAAAAAAAAAAAAAAAAAAGGTGGGACAACTCATATGGTATCCAGATGGTGAAGGTCCACAAGGCCAGTGGGGTTTAGGTTGCTGAAGATGCTCAATTGCTTATTTGCCCATTGAACAGTTAGACCAACGTGCCACCGAGTCTGTGGGAACTGAGTGAGCATCCTCTACCAGGACTGACCATGTCCTCCTTCCTGTCTTACAGCTCACATATCTGCCCCCACCATGGGGGGAGTGTCGGTCCTCAGAGATGGGGCTCGACTTCTTTCCTGTTTACAGCATCACCGCCTGTCGCATTGACTGTGAGACCCGCTACATCGTGGAGAACTGCAACTGTCGCATGGTCCACATGCCAGGTGGGTGTCAGAGCCCCCAGGACCTTTGCAGTTTCCCACCCTGACAGGAAACACCTCACCCACCCCTGGAGGATGCAAAGAAACATTGTTCTAGGGACTCTGTAGTACCTGACAACCAAAGGGCAGGTAGCAATATTCCATCCATCAATCGATCAGGGCGGCATCCTAGTATGCAGAGGTGCCCAGACGTGTGCCTCACCTCCATCTCCATGCTCTATATGCTTGCCACTGGTCTGCTCCTCTTGTCTCCTGAGTTCAATGTCCAGATAACGGGATGCTCGTGGCCTACACATGCTGATAATATGCCTGTTTGAACATCCAGATGTCTGTGGCTTTCATCCAGATGTTTCCCTTCTTGCACCCAAATGTCTAGCACTCTTTGGAGTGAGGCAAAAGTCTATTAGTGAGCAAATAAATGTGCCTGTGCAGACACTTCCATTGTCAGACTAATAATGTTTATTGCCATCTCATTAGATGCAGTCAGCATGTCAGAGGCAGGAGTGTGGAGTGGGAGCAGGTTTGGGCAGGACAGTGGTAGCAAGGAGACGGGTGGCGGGGTGGTAACTGGGACTGTAGGCATGGAGCTTAGCTTCTATTTCAGGATTCTCCATTCACTGTGTGGGCTGGCCCACATCACTAACCCTCTCTGTTCTTTCTTTCATTATCTTAAAAAGAAAGGAAAAGGAAGAATGTAAAGATGCCCTGAAAACTACAAAAGTCAATGGTGATTGTATTAGTGCATGAGAAGGCAGAAGCCTTCTACTAATGATCTACTGTGTGCTTGGAGCATTGCTGTCCCTTTTGATATTTGCTCTTCTGTGCTTATGTCCTACATTATTTAAGCTTACTTAACAAAGTTCTTTTGGTGAAGTCTTAGTTCATCACCTATTGTTTTTTGTTGTGACAGCTCTCAAGTTAGTCTCCTCCTGGCTGAATTCTGAATTATTTCATTAGTGATCAGTAATGACCTTAGTCATCCAAGTTAGAATTGTTATCTTTAAAACTGCCCCTGTTCAGAGAGACATTGCCAATACTGACTGTTAAGGCCACTAACATTAGGGAGGAAAGACATAGGAGTGGGCTAAGCAAGCCACACTGGGCCTTGAAGTCACCCTCACCCCCTTGGCTGGGGTCAGAGGTAGCTCAGAGGGAAGACTCAAAAAGGGGCTTGTAGAAACTACAAAAGCAGTGGATTGCCTCCCCCCCAGATCAGGTCCTTAACCTGGAGTCATGACCCCTTTTGGGATCACATATTAGATATCCTGCATATTTGATATTTACATTATGATTCATAACAGTAGGAAAATTACAGTTATGAAGCAGCAGTGAAATGATTTTACAGTAGGGGATCGCCACAACATGAGGAACTGTATTAAAGGGTTACAGCATTAGGAAGGTTGAGAACCACTGCCCTAGCTCCTCCAGAAAAAACATAACTCTCCTAACACCAATGACGCCTGTGGCTGACTGCAGACCTACAAAAGTACAAGAGGATAAATGTGTGCTGCTTTAAATAATGGCATTAAAATTGCCTATGAGATTCCTGGAAGATAGGGCAAAATGGAAACTACATCACTTAACATGTTATTATTGGAAAAGGGAATTGCACCAGCTCTTCGACGCCGTAAAAAAGGACTTGGGGGGAAATGGTTCAAAACAGACATTCCTGGTGGATCTTGACTTCAGTGTTTCACAAAGAAAAAAAGAGAGGAGGGGACAATAAAACAATCAGCAACAAAAACGAGATCTTAGCGTTCTACAGAGAGATTCCAGAGAGAAAGACTAGAAAGACTAGCATCAGCTTGCCTGATGCACAGACCAAACCCCCAGTCATGAGCTTTTTCCATAAAACCTGAACCAGAGGCAAGCAGACAAAGTAGGGTTGCAATCATACCAGCTGTGATACCTCAACTGCATGAGATGATGGATGGACAGGACCATAAGGAGGTGCAGAGCCACAGTGTGGTGTGCTGGGGAGCAGCAGCCTCCAGATGGCAGGGACCCCTGTGCCAACCCCACCTTACCACCAGCAGCTCGCTGTCTGGTAAGCCAGGTGCTGAGCCCCATGTTTTTCTACTTGGAAGCCTAACATAAGTGTTCAATGGAGACCACATGGAGCCTGGCTTAGAAGGAACCTCCTTCTACCCCACCCCAGACCTTGTTTTGTTCCCAGTCTTCCAGACAAGTTATCCCATCATCCACCATTGGGAGCCACCAGAAGGCCAGGCAGGTCTCACAGTCTCCTCCTAACAGCAGATCAGAAGTCATTTCCAGATCTGAGGACACTAAAAAGTGGCACCCATCAGACCATCCACTGTCCCCTGAAGACAGCTTATCCCTGTGGGTACTGGGAGTTACTCATTGCCTGGGCCAGTGAAGCTGCTGGCATTCATGGCTCCTGTGTGGTTAATGCTCTTTCTCTCTTTGCTTTCCTTCCCTGCAGGGGATGCTCCTTTCTGCACCCCTGAGCAGCACAAGGAGTGTGCAGAGCCTGCCCTCGGTCAGTACTGGGAACAGACGGGGTGGGAGGTGAAGGGGAGGTTGTGGGGTCATCTGGTACAACACCAAAGTCAACCATGGAAAAAGGAGCAGGAAAGGGATGCACACAAAGAAGGATGCAGGATGGAGTAGCTGCAGGAAGCTGGTGAGGGAGAGAGGAGAGGAGGGAACCATAAAGGTGAATGAGAGAAAAAGAGGAAGGGAGGAGAGAGAGAGAGAGAAAGAGAGAGAGAGAGAGAGAGAGAGAGAGAGAGAGAGAGAAGGAGACACAGAGGTGGTGATGGAGAAGTAGATTTCACAGGGAATAGAGGATACAGGGAGAGGGCAGAGATGGAGAGAGGGCAGCCAAAGGGCCACTGGGTCACCTGAAGGAGCTTGGTGAAGCCAACACACACACACACACACACACACACACACACACACACACACGGACCAAGGAAAGCAGCATGTCTTCCCCATGTTCTGAGCCCCATGGAGAGGAAGTGGCAGAGAGGGGAGGTCCTCTTCCGTTCCATGTGTGCAGACACAAGCCCCACTATGCCCACTGCCACCTCCCCACTTCTCCTCACCCTCCTCCTCTCATAGCCTCCAGGGCATTTGAAGTCTAAAATAACTGCTGGCTCCTCAGCTGGAAAACCTGGAGGGAGGGGGAGCACACAGACATGGGTTGGGGTAGTTCAGCAGCTTTCCTGCTGTCTGTCTACCTCCGCCTCTCTAGTCCCAGGAAGAAACAGACAGAACTGTAAACACTGTGTACCCCAGCTCCTTCAGCAGCTGCATTTGGTAGCCCTAAGTGAGGGCAAAGCTGGAATCCTATGGTAGACATCCTGAGAAGGGGGGTGGTTTACAATGCATGCAGAGTCTTTCTTTGGAATAAGATTACAAGACCAAATGAAATAGACATAAGGGTGGAGGAAAACAAAAGACGGAGGAAGGACGATTTTTCTTGCTAATGGTTAAGAAAACATTTGGACCCTTGCAGTTAGGCATCAAGGCAACTTCAACATGGGGAGCAAGGGAATTCATCTCAGCAGGTAGCAGGTGGTTGGGGACTCATCGCCTGCAAGCACTGTGAAGGGTCAGGAGATGAAAAAGTGCAAAGATGTTGGGGTGGGGGAGGGGAGTATTGCTACTCAGAGGGCTGAGATTCCTCCTGGAGGCAGGCCAGGGTGATGGAGTCTCAAGGTGAGAATTCTTTCTAAGCTTTATCAGGCTTCTTGCCATAGCGGGGCCCGAGAAGTGGAGAAACTGCTCTCAAGGGCCTGGCTAAAGTTTGGTCAAAAAGAGTCTGTCAGAGGGCAACAGTGTCTTCCACCACCTGGTCTGTGGTAGAGGAACGGGACAGCCCCGTACTGGGTGCTGGGGGAGGGAGGTTAGGTCATTCCAGGATAAGGATTCAAGGATCTTTCCCTGTGCAGCCTCTCAGCAGGCAGAGGGCATGGCTTTGGTTCTGAGTAGCACCTGCCGGTCAACATGAAGTCCTGAGCTCCAAGCACAGTGTTCTCCATGATAACTTCCATGGTGGCTCAGTGTTCTCTATGTTACCTTCCATGGTGGCCCACTTTGTGGGTCAGAACACAGATGCTATCTATACACAGGAGAAAGTCCCATGAATGGGAGGGGCCAGGCCTCCCCATGGAACTGTCTCCCTAAAAGTGGCAATGGGCCAACACTTTTGAAAGTACAGGAGGACAGTAAGAGCAAGCAGAAAGAAAACAAGCCCTTAGAACAATCCCATCTCAGCAATTCTCTAGCCTAGTTTCCTGGGGCCCAGCTCCCCCTCCCGGCTTGCATCTTAATGTCTAGAATCTAGGTATGCTGGACCAGAGATCCTTGCCCCCACCCACACCTGCCTGAGACCTCTCCTCTCTCCTCCAGGCCTCCTAGCAGAAAAGGACAGCAATTACTGTCTCTGCAGGACACCCTGCAACCTGACCCGCTACAACAAAGAGCTCTCCATGGTGAAGATCCCCAGCAAGACGTCAGCCAAGTACCTAGAGAAGAAATTTAACAAATCTGAAAAATATATCTCGTAAGTTAAGTGGGAAGGGAGGAGGTGCAGAGGGGGCATACAGATAGAGGCAAAAAGCAAGCAGTTAGCTCAATTTAGCAAACATTAATTGAGCACCTGCTGTGTGCCAAACTCAGAAGACAAAGCCACAAAGAACTTGCAGCCTCCCAGGGAGATAAGTGCAGGATTAAATGCCACATAGGGCAATGACGTCTGGGACAATGTTGGCTATAAATGAGATATGCAGACACTAAGGGGAAACCGTAGTTGACTGCAGTTTGCTCAGGGCAAGGTTCAGGGAAAGCTTGACCTTTCTAAAGAATGTATAATTCTCCTGGTGGGTCTTGAGCCTTCTGTCCCATCTTCCAGAAACACTTTTCCTGCCACTCTGCCTTGCTGGTTCCTCGTGGTACCTGTCTCCATTTAAATAGCATTGTCTTAGAAAGCTAGATTATCTCCTCCTCAGGCACTGTGGTGTTTCCCTTTATAATATTGCTATGGTGTGTGACTTGCTGTTAAATAAGCGGTTCCATTCAAGAAAGGAGCTGACACACTACCCTTCAAGAATTGGGTTTGGGGGGTGGGGATGGGCATGGAGAGATAGCTCAGCAGTTGAGAGTGATGTTCAGAGTCCAGCACCCATATCAGGCAGCTCAGAAATGTCTGCAACTCCAGCTCCAAGGGATCTGATGCCATCTTCTGGCCTCTGTTCTCTCTCTCTCTCTCTCTCTCTCTCTCTCTCTCTCTCTCTCTCTGTCTCTCTCTCTCTGTCTCTCCCTCTGTCTCTCTCTCTCTGTCTCTCTCTCCCTTTCTCCCTCTCTTCCTCTCTCCCTCTCTCTCTTCCACTCTCCCCCTCTCCTCTCTCTCCCCTTCACATACAAGTGCCCATACACACCAAGGCTGAACACACACACACACACACACACACACACAGAGAGAGAGAGAGAATATTAAAAAGAAGAAAAGCAACTAGGTTTATCAGGAGAAAGATGGAAACCATGGTCAGGCCTTGAAGTGGGAGAGTATTAGAAAGGAACAACAGCATGTCAAAAACCATGTGCTGGGCCCTCAAAGGGAAAGCCTGGAAAGGCGCTTCTTTGACAGGGATAGCTGAAAGAGTAAGAGAGATAAAGATAGAGCCATGGGACTGGAGATGGTTCACTGGTTAAGAGCACTGGCTGCTCTTCCAAAGGACCTGGATTCAATTGCCAGCACCCACATGGCAGCTCACAACTGTCTATAATCCCAGTTCCAAGGGATCCAACACCATAATGCAAACCAATGTGCATGAAATACAAATAAATAAATCATTTTTAAAAAGAGCCACAATGAAAGGGGTGGGTGGCAGGGGGTGGGGAGGGACCCAAAGAAAAAAGCCTTCAGATGAGTTACCTAAACATGAGGGTTAGCTGACTTTTTGTAGGTTTTCAGGGGCTGGAAGGAACTTTATAACATAGTTTAGTTTGGGACAGCATGCATGACAAACAGCCCAGAGGAGCCAGGTACCCACAAACAGATATTTGTTGGCCACAGCACAGACAACAGAGATGCAGGACAGGAGAACATAGCCTGATTTCTTAAGGCTGTGGAATCTGGTCTCTTAGGAGATTTAAATGGGCAGCCCCTCCCTGGGTTCTAGCTTTCTTCCCCATTCTGAGTCCTCCTTTGTTGCCACCCTGCACAATCGTCATAGTGGGGCATATCCAATGGCAGGAACTTCTCCTTGTTTTTTGCTCTCTACCAAGTACCACTGACCCTTCTGGCCCAGACCTGGGGCACACACACACACACACACACACACACACACACACACACACACACACACAAATCCCTTTACATGGGGTAAGTGAACAGCATTGTGTATCCTGGTGGGGGACTTAGCACAGAGTTGGCACAGGTACATCAGAGACAAAGGTTAAGATGGACATGTCACAGGTCCTATAGGATGAGCTAAGGGTGAGTGAGGTGAGATTCAGGGGGATGGACCATGTATTAAACTAGTGAGCAGCTGAACATTTAGAAGGTCAATGGCAAGCTTAAACTTGCATTTTATAATTTTATTTGAGATAGGCTCTCACTATGAGGGCTGGCCTCAAATTCATGATCCTCCTGCCTCAACTCCCATAGGCCAATGTCACCATGCCCAGCTCATCCAATTTGTATTCTACATATTAAGCTATTTTGATAATTTTATAATATATGTGATGTATTATGGCCATTTTTGCATGCTGTTACACTCTTTCAATCCCCTTCCTATTCCTGTAGAATCTCTTCTTCTTCTTCTTCTTCTTCTTCTTCTTCTTCTTCTTCTTCTTCTTCTTCTTCTTCTTCTTTCCCAAAGACCCCCTCCTCACTTACATGTGTTTTGTTGTTGTTTGGGGGAGTATTTGTGTGTCCTGTTGAGCTTAACTAGGGTTGTCCAAATGAGCATGGTTGAGGTTATTTACTGAAGTATAGGCAAGTTACCAGTGGCTATACCACTGAAGAAAATTACTTCTCCATCCCCCATGCATGCAGGAATGCTGATGGGCCCCCGTCTTGTGCAGGTCTTGTTCAGATAACCTTAGCCACTGACTTCACAAGTGCAATGGATGGCCATGGCCAGCATTTCACAACACTCCTCCCTATCCCTATCTTCCAGCTCTTACAATCTTTCCACATTCTTTGCCATGTGTTTCCCAAGCCTTGGGGGGATGGAGGGGTTCGTATAGGTGTTGCATTTAGAGATTAGTGCTCAACAATCACTTATTCTCTGCACTTCAACCAATTATGAGTCTCGGTGTTAACATTGCTTACTGCAGATGGAAGCTTCTCAGACCAGATGCTGAGAGCTGCACTAATCTATGGTTATACATATAAATACTTAGAAGGCAGTTTTGGGGGAGGGGGTTATGATCTCTCCAGCCAAGGGTTCTTGAGAAGGTTGACAGTATTGAATATAGATTCTCTCTTGTGGAACAATGCAATCAGAAAGCAGCTGGTTACCTCTATAACCTTCATGCCATCTTGCACCAGTGGGCATATCATTCCCCAGCTGGTTTGTATTTTATCTCACAGGGGTCACAGCTGGGTAAGACCACTGATGACTTTTCTACCTCAGCACCTGCATAGCACCTTGAGAGCTGGCCAGCCGGGAGGAATCTTCCAGCTCAGTTGCTGCCTGATTCTCTCTGCCCTGTCACCAAAATATGTGTGATATCTTTACTATCAGGTTTTACTACCTAGTTTGGGTGGGCAATCAAGAGCAATGACAAGAGCCTGTGTCAAATTTGTGTTCTTGAACTCTGCTCCCCAATGAACATTCTGGAGTGATAGATTCTACACCCGTGGCACTCAGTGTGGTATCCACTGGCCGTGCATGGCTGTGGAGCATCTGCCATGGTTGTTTGTATGGCTGAGAAACTGAATTGTGATCTTCTTTAACTTGAATCAACATAATGGTTTCAGGAAGACCCTCCAGGCAGCAGGCAGGAAGGAAGCCAGGCAGGAGAAAAAGAGTTCCACAGTGTGGAAGGCACTTGCTTCTTTCTCTCCCACCCACTCTCCCATTCCAGGACAGTTGCTAGGCCCCTTCCTGAGATGACTTCTGCTCAACAGGTTCAAAACAAGGGGCATGGAGGGCATGCCAAGCCCCACAGAAGGAGACTAGAATGTAGGAAACACCAGGCCCTGCTGCTTAGCTGGCATTCCACAAGTAGGAATGAGTTCCACTGCCAAGAGCATCTTGTTAACACACCTGTCCGCAGGAAAGTCACAGAAGGAACACAGGGCTTCTGCCAGGAGTTCCCCCAGCCAGCCATGGGCTGCTCCCTACAGTTCTCCCCAGTTCTGGCAACCGACTGAACAATGCCAAGTCAGGGCCTCCCACCACAAGAGGAAAATGGGGAACTCTCAGGAGTTGGCCATAACTGCTTAGATGTTCAGCTGGGACAGGCACCCAAACTGAGGCCAGTCTAGAAAGAGACTGCTGAACTCATTTGCATGCTAAAAACTAAGCAGGCTCCAGAAGACTCAGGGACTTGGGTCCAAGCTGGACCCCCAGAAAGGCTACTGAGAGAGTGGAGTAGATAAGGACAAACAGGGACCCAGCTGATGGGAGCCTCTGGTACTAGAGTTCAGCCTTTGGGCAGCTCCCTGGGCCTCCCTTTGTCTACCCATCCACAGGAAAACGGGATTAACTGGTCCTTTAAGTGCTGAGGGCTCTAACTGTGTGTGGTGCACATTCCCCCTGCAGAGAGAACATTCTGGTTCTGGATATATTTTTTGAAGCACTCAATTACGAGACAATTGAACAGAAGAAGGCGTATGAAGTTGCTGCCTTACTTGGTGAGTTGGAATGTCTGCCACATAAATTTTCCACATCTCTTGGGAGGGATGGGGGTGGGGAAGTGGGTGGGAGGCTAGCAGACAGACATATAAGCCTCCCGGGCAGGCAAACTTGTTAATGTACTGGTTACTCTCTCTGGGCTTGCTGGGGTAGAGGTTATAGATCCAGCTCACTCCTCAGCCCAAGGCCTCAGGATCCTCTGAGCAGTGAGGAGTGAACACAAAGGTCTCACAGAGCATCTCCAGGTCTGCTCTCTTGGATTCCGTAGTCTATCTATAGGTTGGAGTCAGAATCCCAGGGCCTGAATGCTAACAGAAGCATTGAGGGGGTGGGGTATGTTCAACTTGAGTGGTCCCCAGGCATCCAAACTATCAGGGTGCCTGGTGGCATCTGGACAGCAATGCACTGAGAAGCTTAGTGTTGTCCCCTGGACCCAGAGCCCTTTCTCAAACAAGAAAGAAGAGCTGATCTCTCCAGATGGCCACCAACCTGACTGCTACTCCCACACAAGTTCACATTGTCTGCCCTGGTCCTGATGGAACATAATGTACACAAAAAAATTAAGCTCAACCCAATCCTAGCCCATCTGGACACTCACATTCTGGTTAAGGGACCATCTCTTCAACCTGTACCATCTCCTACTCACTCTAAAGAAAGGACACAGTGCCTAGCAGTAGTGGCTGTTGTCCCTGAGACTGAACTAAGTGACAGTAGCATCCAGGGAGGGGCAGGTTCCACCTGAAAGTATAGAAGGAAGAGCAGGCTTTGAATCCAAGGTCTTCTGGAGGCCAGCGGTGGGGACATGGACAGGAAGGTGGCTTCCCCTTGCTGTAAAACAGGCCTTCTGTCACCCACTGTGTCATCTGACTTTCCATCACTTTGAGAAGACCTGAGCAAAACAACTTGAAGATGGCAAGGACTTGTTTGGACTCATGATTTTAGGGTTTGCAGTCCAGCATGGTGGGAATAGGAGGGAGGGAGGGAGGGAGGGAGGGAAAAAATACACCTGTGCCAGCAGACTCTTTCCTGTCTCCTTTCTGTCTCCTTCTCCCTTTTCCCCTTTCATCTCCAGACTCCCATCCCATGGGACGGTACCTCCCATATTTAGAGTTGTCTCCCTATTAGTTAATCATCTCCAATCCAGTCAAGTTGACAATGGAGAGAAACCATCTTAACTAGTTCACTGTGGCAGTTAGCTCAAATAAAGGCCATAATCAATAGCAGTCTGTGGCACATAGATTGTCATCATGCCAGAACTCCAGCCCCATCTGGTATGACCAGGGCTATGGGAGCATTTCTATACTTCATCTAGGAGAAGAGGGACAAAGCCTTTGTTCAGTGCCAGCTATGTGGAGGGTGTCACTTAGACCTCTATGGAGGTTATTGTGGTTAAAAGCCCTGAGCCACAGAGCACAGGCCATGCCCCCTCACTCACCCCTGGAAGGTCTGTTATTTCCCCTTCCCTCCACAAAGATCAAGCTTGTATGTGCATAGGTGTGCTCCTGAGCACTCGCTCTCTCTCGCTCTCTCTCGTTCTCTCTTCTTCCCTCCCTTTCTCTCTCTCTCCTTCCTTCCCTCCCTTTCTCTCTCTCTCCTTCCTTCCCTCCCTTTCTCTCTCTCTCTCCTTCCTTCCCTCCCTTTCTCTCTCTCTCTCCCTCCCTCTCTCTCCCACCCTCCCTCCTCTTTTCCTCCCTTTCTTCCCCCCTCTCTCCTTCCCCTCTCTCTCACACACACAGAGCTCAAAAAGAGTCCAGGCTTTGAATCTGTCACGTCTGCATCAGATACAAGGATGAACTTGTTCCCAGCATCTTGTTCCCACCCAGAATAGCCTGTGAGTAAATGGTGCCGCCATCTGTGCCTCCTGTGAGGAAAGTGTGTGCCACACAGAGACCTTCAGCCATCAGGCCCAGCTCTGCCTTCTCTCACCACTACCCCACATGCACACCCCTCAACACCCCCATGCTAACACACACAACATGCACATTGAAACCAGCCTACAGGTCCATGTACCCATGATGCTCCAGAACCAACACACACACACACACACACACACACACACACACACACACACACACACCTACACACCTGCACAGCTCTGTGTCCCACCACATAGTTTCAGAGGCACATCCATGTAAACAGCAAACCTAGGCAGACACAATCTATGCCTATATGTCCACATACTCATTATATATGCCTACATGGCACACACAGAAACACACCTACACCTACACAATGCTCACACATGCTGTACACATTCAGGCACACTCTAGCCACATCTACCACACACAGAGACACATTCTATATGCCTAAAGTAGACAGAGATATGTACTCATATATAGACATCAATGATCAGACACGCTGCCTACATACATTCTGCACAGTTTCTATACTGACTGCATTCCAGTTGCACTGTACACCATTGCAAATGCACATTTCAAACCTGAAATACTCACACAGACACACACACTCCCTGGTAAGCTTGCACTAGAGCAATGAGGGGTGCAAAGGAACAAAAGGAAGCCATCTTGAGCCCAGAGAGGTGGGGTTATTATATACTGCTGAACAAATAGGCAGGGTTATTACACGCAGTTTAATAAGGATGTGGGGTTATTACATATAAACAACAAGGAGGAAGGGTTATTACGTTCAGCTGACCAAGGAGGCAGGTATCATCAATCTCAGTAGGAACAGTCTTCATGCAGTGAACATCTTGGGGAGAAACTATGGTTGATGTTTTCTGCACACACTATCAACATTCACACACAGACCAGAGTCAGGCTTTGCCATCCCTCAGGCTTTGCCCCACCCAGGGAAGGCTTCGCCACTCCCATGAGGTAGAGTCATTGGGATCCTTGACATGACTGTGCCCATGTCAACAACACACTTTCACTCGGGACTTCATTCACTCCCTAAACAGGCCCATGGACCTCATTAGTGAGTGATCAGCCCCAACCCTGCTGGCTAGTGATGTACATGAATGAAGGTGGGCCTGTCAAAGGACTGGCCCTCCTGCGACAAGGCCCAGGCTTCCCTGGGAGGGGGCATACTCCAGTGCTCCAGCTTCCAAGTTCATCATCTCTTCACCCCTTCCTGGATCTGTGTGTAACACCCAATTTCTGGTCTTTTCCCTTCCTCTGCAGGTGACATTGGTGGTCAGATGGGATTGTTTATTGGTGCTAGTATCCTTACAATACTAGAGCTCTTTGATTATATTTATGAGGTAAGATTTGGGGTTACCCTTGGGGAAATGACCAAATGGTGGAACACCCAGACTCAGAACCAAGCACGACTGAGGCAGTAGCTTCATTCCATCCACACAAAGCCACTTCTCCAAAGCATACGGCAGGAGTCTTAGGAGAAGTGGGTATGAAAGAAATGGCAGCCTTGGGCCTTTCTTGGACCTGGCCTACATCACCGAAAGAGAGTGGAGGAATGAGAAGAGACCAGACTGTGCAGGGGCCATCCCCAAGTGTCTTACACAGTGGAACCAGGGCAAGGTTTCACACCCCAGGGAGTTCACATTTATATGCAACACACCACACACCCAACCAACTACATGCTCATGCTCACCCAACACACATATCACACTTAAGCATACATATCCCACATATTCACACAACATGTGCCCACATGCACACACATGCTCACATACACACACTCACAGCTCTGTATACCACACACAATACACTGAGGAGTACTCACCACCCACAAGCCTGTCCTCCGAGTGGGCTGTCTTCTAAGTACTGTCTTCCATGGCCTAGCCAGCCCTAGGGAGTGTGTACATGTCCCAGGAATCCTCACCAATCCCCAGCAAGACCACAGTGTCCACCAACCACTTCTGCCACTCACAGTCTGAGGAGATGTGACTCTCTCTAGAGGCAGATAGGGCCATGTTTCTCAAAGGTTGTCAAACAGAGGTCCTGGAGCATGTCAGCTCTTACAGCTTCCTAAGCCCAGGCAAGAATAAGCCTGCTCTGCGCCAGGTTCATCTGGGCAGAGAGTCGAGAGTGGTCAGCCTGAAGAGCAGATGGGTTAGTGGGCCAACCTACCTATGAGTAGGTTCCATGCCAGCTCTGCCCTGCCGTGGTGATCACTTGGAGACCTCCACGCCACTGGCCACAGATGGGCAATTCACACCAGGCTGGGGGTGCCTCCCTGAGACAGGTGGTGATCCCAAAGGTCCTAAGGCACTCCCACACTGCAAGCCCCTTGGGACTCTGATCCTCAGCTTCCTTGTTAACTCCCAGGGAAGGCAAAATACACCCAGCAGTCATTTAGGTAGAGCCCCTTGTGACAAGTGCAGAGACCCGAGTGTCCCTCAGCATCATGACTGAACCAAATAAAGTCAGATTCTTGTTCGGCATTATTTAGTCATTCTCCTGAAAAGCCGTACAAAGGGAATGGCAAATTGAGCCCCATTAGATAGCATACTTAAGAACTACCCTTAATTGCTACAAATAAAGAATTATAGCCCTTGGGCATGCCCTCATCATATGGAGGTATCAGTCTGGAAAGTGAATAACAAAGCTGGGTGTGGTAGCATATATCTGTAATCTCAATACTGGGAAGGTTGACACAAGAGGATGGTGAACTTGAGGCCAACCTGAACTACACAGTGAGAAAGTGATCCCACAGTGCTCCCTAGGACCCCTGGGGATCTGGGCATACCAGCACCTTTAGCCATCAGAGAAAGCAGTCCACACAGCAAGGCAGAGCCCTCCCCCACCCTCTTCCAAGCTCTGTTTGGAGCAACAAAATCACATGTAAGCCAAAAGGCGAGCTTGAGAGTGAGTCCCTAGGGCTGTCCACCAGGCAGAGCTCTTGCTATTGTATGTGCAGCCACAGCACACACAGTCACTGCCTATGCGATTCCTTGGTTCAGCCTGTGAAAGGATGCCCTTTGACCTTTGTGCCATCCTCCCAGCCTAACTGTGCACTTCCTGTCTTTCTTACAGCTGATCAAAGAGAAGCTATTAGACCTGCTTGGCAAAGAAGAAGAGGAAGGGAGCCATGATGAGAACATGGTAAGAACAGCTCTCCATAGCCTAGCTTGTGCAGGTAATATGAAACCAGACACAGGTCCTGGCAGGAAGGACCTGAGTCTCAGCACATCTTTCCAATGCCTGTGACACCCTCTCATGCCCCCAATCCAAGGACATTCCAGCTGGGCCACATCCCAAAAGTCAATGACTAAGCCATGAATAGAGCTGACCACCAAAGGTACTTCCAAGGGTAGATCCTTCTCCAGGTCACAGGGCTACCCCCTCCTCCCATACTCCTACAAGACAATAGAGTCCCTATGTGTACTTCCATGTTCCCTAAGAGTGGGTAATGCACCAGTGTCACTGACCTCGATCCATTAGAAGGGGACACCTCATGAAGTTAGTAGCAGTAATTGTACACATTACAACTACTGAATATTCTGGCTACAGGTTGGGCACCATTCTGGGTGCCCATGTGGGTCTTGCCTCTGAAGCCACCATAGATAAAGGTCTTTTTCCCTTTGATACCATTGAGGCCAGAGTCACTTAGCTTTTGAGTGTCAGGACTAAACCTTATGTGCCTCTAACCACTGGATAACTCTGCCCTTTCCCTGCAGTCAGAGGCAGCACCCTTCACTTTCATGACTGTCCATCATTCTTTTCCATTGCTCATCCCACTGCTGGGCTCAGGGCTTGGTTGACTGAGGCAGGTATCTTGGGCTCTTCTTCCCATTCTATACCCCAAATTAGCCTGTGAGAATCATGCTCAAGTGGCCGCTGCCTCGCTAAAATTTACTGGTCCCAAGTGGATCCCAGCCCTTCCTGTCAGGCCCCCATTTCTATTCCAGATACAGTATCATTACACAGCTCCCAGGCTAGAACCCTGGCTTTGATTCTCTGCACTCCTGAAGGCTCTGGAGAACAGAAGACAAGCCTCTGCTAAGGGAGAAAACAGCAAAGAAGCGAAGAGCCTAGGCTCTGGTCTCAGTTGTCTTGGCTATAGCCTAGGCCCTCTGAGTCCTAGCAGTGTGTCTGGAGGATCTTAGCCTCCCTAAACATTTCCACAGGATCAGAAACCCCCAAAGGGGTTTCATGGGGTTAAGAGAGTTGTGTTTGCATCTCAGAGACAGCAAGTGCTCCAAAAGCCAAGACTCCCTCCTCTCCTCCTTCCTTAGAAAGTCTCAGAGTCATAGCCACCTTTCCCATTTCCCCTCCCCCAGGTCTGTCTCCATCAACTCCCCACTCTACCCCTTCCACACCAATCCCAATACCATATCCCTGGCACAACCTCCTGCCTGGTCCTTCCCTTTCCCACTTCTCTCAACCATCTACACATGGCAGCCTGGGATGCCGTTTTTAGGTCATCCTACTCAGGGGTTCTTCAGTTTCCCTGAGGGCCAACCCTGAAGCTCTGATCAGCTCCCATCCTGATCTTTAAAGGCTCACACCCTGCCTCACAGGACTTTGCAGTAGATTTTTCTGAATGAATTACAAGTGCCCCATTTCTTTTCCCTGCAGAGCACCTGTGACACAATGCCGAACCACTCTGAAACCATCAGCCACACTGTGAATGTGCCCCTGCAGACAGCTTTGGGCACCCTGGAGGAGATTGCCTGCTGACACCTCAGGCAACGCAGCACCTCCAAATAGACCTTAAGGCCCAAGACCCAGGACAGGGGACAGCAAGCTCAGGTGGAATGGCCCCTGATGACAGAAAGAAGCAAGAGCCCCCCCATGCACACATTGTGAACTTCTGCCAAACCTCACTCTGGCCACATCTGACATGAACCGTCCCGGGCCCTGCCACTTGTCCCTTGTAGGACCAATGAGTCCCACTCCGGAACTGTCCAAGAACTAACCTGCCATCACATCTCACTGCCAAGATGTACAAAGCACCTGCATGCTCAGACTTCTTACGGCGCCACCTCCACTTTTGTCTTGTACATGGTATTTTCTCCATGCAGTTTCCAGAGCCCACTCTGCTGCCCATGCAGTGGGACCAGGTTCCAGCCCCGAAGCCACCCTGAGCCCAGCTCTGGAATCAAAACTGCTCGGTCAATAAGGAAACCACAGAACTCTCTACAACGTTCGGTCCTTGTGTTGTTTGTGAAGGTTCTTAACCTGCCCACAAACCCTTGTCCCCCAAACCGGCCATGGGGCTCCTGCACTAAAGGTGACCAGTGCCAACCTCCTTCTTATCCCAGCACCTGTGGAGGTGGTACAGTGGCCTGGGTGACCCCATTATTCGTCCATGGAGCCACGTCGTTCTCACCCTGTGACACAGCTGTAAAGTTTGATTTCTTTTGTTTTTTGTTTTGTTTTGTTTTGTTTTGTTTGGGGCGGGGGCTGTTTTTGTCTATTGAAGGTTGTTTTGGTTTGCTGTTTTACAGTCTTTGGTTTCGATGTTCTAAGGTTCTGTTTGGGTTTTCCACTTTCTTTGGCGTTTATTTATTCGTGCTTCGAACCACTGTCATATTAAAAGCTGGTCTTGTGGAAGTGGCCACATCATTCTGCCTTTTCTCAGCATCTAGTTCCTGGTTCCTGAGGGCTAAGGAAAACCTAAGACCTGCCAGCCAATGCTACTGAGAATGTGTATGTTTACAAGGTTCATCGACAGTGTTTACCTTTACAAGGTGTGTGCATTATATATTTTATCCTATTCTAAGCCACAACTTAGTTGACTATGTGATCCACTAACAGGTCAAAACCTGTGTTCTGCAGGACACCATCCAAAGTAAGTGTCATTAAAAAGGGAGAGACAGAGCCTATCCATGCCAGAAAACCTTAACAGAGACCTTCCAGGGCCCCTGTGAGTCCTCCAACCCTATCTGTGAGTTCAGGCTAGACACAGAGCCAGTGTAGCCTCCCCCTCACCACCATCTGACTCTCTCTCAAGCCCAATTCTCTACTCCCAGGAAACTGACCTACCTTGTCCCTCCAGCAGTCACATTTGAAGCATGTGACTCCAACGTGATATCCAAATGGAACACAAGGTTGAGGGTACCTTTGCCCCTTTGAAGCCTCTGGACAGCAAACAAGAGTTTCTAGTTCGGGCAGAATCACACCATACTGGTTCCACGGGGACAGTCCCTCTAGGCTGGGTTTTTACTTCCAACCACAACGCCCCAGCACTCCTTAGCCAGAGTCGGCCCCAGCAGTGGCAATAGGTCTGATGTGGCTTGTCTCTTTACCCCCATGTGCATAGTCATGGATAGAACAGGTCAGAACAGAGCTCAGAGTTCTAGTCTAGTCTGTATCATTCTTTTCCCCCATCCCTTACCACGCTGTGATTTCTCCAGTGTGTTGAGTTGAAGAATCTCATAACTAGGAGTCTGCAACTGTGGCCCATGACCTTCTGTCTCCTCTCAGTAGCTGGATGCAGTGACACTGTGATCCTTTCTGGGCTCACTCCCTTGATTTGAGGGTGATCATATTTTGCCTATGTAAATGAAGGGAAGGTGCAGGACCCGGTAATGTCTGGTATAAGACCCCTTCGGATTTCAAGGGCTTTGGCTATGGTGCCCACCAGCAGATGGAACAAGTTCTGTATATACACCTGACACACACATAAGCATGGCCAGGAAATGGAGACCATGAAAACTGCCAAGACAGCTGGAAAAGAGTTCTGCTGCAATGCCCACCCCCACACTCACAGTATACCCAAACTCTCTATGGGGGTTGCCCAAACTGTTACCAATTCTTAGGAATGCAGAATGGCATGTCTTGAAAGTTTCCTGTGTTATTTTCTATTGTGGAGGCAGTAAGTCACTAGTAGAATATAGTGTTGTTTAAAACAATGTATCATCTTAGTGTTCTGGGAAGCCTGGCATGCCTCTCATTGGACTAAGGTGACAAGAAGATTGCAGCTCTGGGGAGGATACACTTATGACCTTGTCCATCCTCTAGAGGCCCACTGTGTTTCTTGACTCGTAGCCCCTCCCTGCTTATTTCAAGCTATCTAGGACTGCTAAGCCTTCTCACATCACATCACCAGGACCCTCCGTAGTCACATCTCCCCAACCTTTGACCTCCCCTCCTTCTACCCTCTTCCACTTTCAAAGGTACTTTGTGGCTACACTGGGCCCACCGGGCAGTCCAGGAAAACCTGTTCCATCGCAAGGCTAGTCCCTCCAAGACATCTACAAAGCCTCTTACTTACTATGCAGGGTCACTTGCTCCAGATATCAGGATGTCAACATCTTCATGGGCAATTATCCTGCCTATTGGACCACATAGCCTAATGCCCTCATTTTTCAAATGAATAGACCCGACTGGGATGTACAGAGACTGACGTGGGTCACCCACAGAATGAGTAACTGTGCTCAAGATGCACCCCGCAGCTCCCAGGCTCACAACTCTATTTGTACACCTACCACGATGACTCACTTAAAGCAAAAGGGGCCAAATGTGATTTTTCTTTCAGACTTCGCCAGACCATAGAATTCTCTCCTGAGACAAACTCACCCCTCAGTGTCCCACTGGTGGCTGGACTATCAAATGTGGAAGGACAGGGGTCTGAAGGCTGGCTTTAGACTTGCTTCCATCAGTAACAGGAACAAAGTGAAATGTCTATTTGGATAGCTAGGAGCCTATCTGATGCCTCTGCCTTCTTCCAATTTAACAACTTCATACATTTTTAAAAATTGATAACTGAGGATGCTATTTGAACTGCTTCAGTGGATTTCTAGTTTCCTTCCTGGAAAAATATAAATAAGAGAGAGGGATCATTTTTGTGATGGGCAAAGACTATTCAGAAACATCTGTATTGCTTTGGGCCTCATACATCTATGTATTCCTTCCTATTAGGAGGTTCTGGCTTTGTTCAGTTCAGGGTAAATCTATGTACTTAATGTATATATACATACATGTATATGTATGTGTATGTATATGAAATTCAAAAGAACAAATATCCAGATACCACTCAATCAGTTGTTAACAAAAGATAGTCTAAATTCCAGTGAGTGGTGGGGTGTTTTTATTGCTGTCATTTCAAACAAGTGTCCTAAGAAATGTATATAGAGACATTTTCTGAGTGGTTGATCGGGAAGGGTCAGGTGTGCAGAGGACACTCGGGACACTGTGTCTAAGGAATCACTAACAACGATACAAAGATTTGGAGTTGAGAACAGTCGCATGGCCATACCTCAAGGCTGGATTCTCAGTGGCCTTGGAGGCTAAGCTAAATTGATTGATGAGTAGCCTGAGGCCTCACAGATAGAATCCAGGAGGCGGCTGCAGTCAGTGGAGCAAAAGGAATGAGTCCTTCTGTGAGCGTCCAAGCTGTGCCAGGGACTGAGCTGGCTGCACACAGGCTGTTACTTTGTTGTTTTTGGCAAAGACACCAGAGTTATTTTATTTTCCTCTCTCCAGCTTGAAGCTATTTTTGTCAATGTTTTAACTGTGAACATGCCTAGAGAGAAACTTCTAGAGCAGCAAGCACTGATAAAGAGACTAGAGTTCCCCCAGGGTCTGGCTCCTAGTAAGCTAGAGGTTGCAATGGGGGCCTGCTACCCACAGATGTGAGCTTGCCCATTTTATGCTCCTTCCAGGAAGCTTGACTCAGCTCACCTGAGCAGAGAGGTCCAAGGAGAAGCCTGATGAGCACATCCTTCACAGACTTGGAGACTTCCAATCCTGGAATGTGCAGCCAAGGGCTCTGTTGGCCCCAGGAACTGAATTCCCCATTCACAGAGGAAAAAGGAGTTGGGAGAGGCCAAAGAATTCCTTCTGCAGGAGAGTTCAGCCAGTCCTGATCCACATACAGTGGGGGCAGTTCCCGTATTGTATGGAGCAAGCTTCCTGGCAGAGGTGGAGGAAGGAACGGGAAAAAGAAACAAGAGACCAATAGCCAAAACATGAAGAACACAGGTCCACCATTCGTTCACCTCAACTGTTGTGTACCAGGCATGAAGTTTATAGTCTGAATGGAAACACTAACAAACATACAGATGGATGTGGGTTCCAGTTGAAGGGAATGAAATGAGGTATAAGCCAGGTCCTGGAGGTTAGAATAGGCAGATTTTAGGAGACTGGACCCAAGTCAGGGAACCCCAAGTGGAGGCATGAAAGGGAGAAAGGAACACATACACATGTGCGCGCACATGAGCGTGTGTATACACACACACACACACACACACACACACACACAGAGAGAGAGAGAGAGAGAGAGAGAGAGAGAGAGAGAGGTACATTAGACACTTCCCTGTGTTTTTTTCATTTCTTTTTGCTTCTTGTAACATTGATTCTTAATCTTGTTTGGATCGCTGACTTGTTTTAGAATAAAATGAAAACTATGAACTCTCCCCCTAGGAAAGATATCCAAAACCATGAAAATAAGCATAAGATTTTACATGTAATTATAGAAGGGTTCTGAATCCTGGACCTCATCTGTGACCCTCTATGGCTCCATGGATGCTGGCTGTGGTCTAGAAAGTGCTGACTAATTTCCAAAAGAGCCCACACCAGCACACAAAGAGGGATTGATGTTTCTTCTCCCCAAATGGCATAATGACTGTCGTTTTTCAATTTGCAGAAGGGAAAACAAAAGATAGGCTTTGATCAATTTCAATTTTTTTGCTTCCTTAATTTTTTTAAACCTTTGACACCTGCTGCAGCTTGTGAGCTGAGCATGCTCTCACAGATGGCAAAGTAAATGAGTGAGCAGAAAATGAATATGCACAGGAAAACCCAGGAATGGGATTCCATAAAATTATTTTATGTGGGTGAAGATTCTGAAGGCTGGAGAGACCTGAATACATGAAAGGCAACCATAACACCTGCTTTCCAGATGTGCCAGTGGCCTGGTTGCTCAGGGAGGAGGGAGATGTGTACATGATGTTCTTGGATGGCCATTGAACCTTCAGTCATGCCCTTGCTGTTGGATTTCATTTGCTTTTTTAGCAGGGATGCTGTCTTGTTAGCATTTCAATTTCTGTGATAAGATATCATGACCCAAAGCAACTTGGGTATAAAAGGGTTTATTTTGTCTTACATGTCCCAGTCGCAGCCCATCATAAAGGGAGTCAAGGCAGGACCCTTGAGGCAGGAGCTGATGCAGAGACCATGGAGCCAACTACTACTGAGCATGAGGCCTGCCCTGAAATATGGACAATGTGCTTACTCAATGTCACTCCACTGAAGACAACTGACTTTCCCTTTCCTAGCAGCTATAGGAAATAGCTTCTTGGTCAGGGGTGGGACTTTGTGTCCACTTCCCTTCTCCATGCTGGGATTTGACTGGATTGAACTTGTACAGAGGAAGACACCATTCTTGTCTTCAGGAACCTCAGCGTCTAGCTGGACAAAGATGGCTAATGACAAAGCTAGAGTTACTGGAGAAGAGAGAACCACAATTGAGGAAATGCATCCATAAAATTGGCCTCTAGCAAAATCCGTGAGGGCATTATCTTGATTAATGATTGATGGGGAGGGCCCATCCCATGGGCGGGGGTGCCATCCTTGGGCCAGTGGTCCTGAGTTCTATAAGAAAGCAGGCTGAATGAATGCCA